ATGTACTAGGTAAATAATTCCAATATTGTGAAAATTCAGGCACAGAAAATATTAAATTCAAAGCGAAAGCAACTGTTTAAAAATAATTTATTACCGTACAGTAAGCACAAGATATGTATTATCAGTTCACACCATTATCATGATCTGATATCAATGGAAAAGATTTAATACACTCTATAAGAACATTTTATTGTTCGAAAGTACGAGTACACAATTTTTTCATTGCTTTTGACTTTGGTTCGGAAAATCTTTTTTTATTGGTATGGGATATGCAGTTGTTTAGCATATGTGGAAAATAAAAAAATGTAAAAAAAAATGTTTATAATTAAATGCTAAAACAACTAAATGGATTTGATAGAAAAACCAAGGCAATTGATTTGAATGTGAAATACATTGGGAAAAAGCACTGTGAGATTTGTGTGGGTGTTTGTATTTCACTTGTGATGGACAGGTGTCCTGTCTGGGTCTGGCCCCAGCTTGTCCCTTGTGCTGTCTCCTATTGTGGCATGTCAGTCACCGTAATCAATATGCAACTGAATTTGAGTATATTTTGGAGCTTGTAAAATACCGGTAAATCCCAAAACAAATATATGCAAATTAATATCTATACATTTAGTATTAACAGAACCTAGTAAAAATATAATTCAGACTAGCTAGTTTTCTGCTGTTAAAAATAAAAGCATCAAAATATTGAGGAACATTTATAGAAAAAAAGGGATAATAGAATTAAACCATGAATTCTGCTAATGGTTCCTCTTTTTTATCATGCTGGAATGAGGACATAAAGGCCAAAATTTTTGAAGAAACCTTCATATGTCAGATTTGTAAAGTAAAGTGTACGGTTTCCAAATATTACTTGTGCTGCAATCAGAGATGTCCGATATCTGTACAAAAACCTTCATGAAATCTAGCAATTGTAAAAAGATACATACGCAGACCTATGATTCTGTATAATTTCATTCATTCCATTATATAGCGCTAAAGTACCCTCATGGGACAACCAGTGCCCAAAACCACATTAGATTTGTGAAATCTCATAGTAGTAATTTCTTAGTCTTGGTTCGACGACATTAAATCCAGGCCTCTCATCTGGTCTGAAAACGAGAAAAACCACAAACAGCAGATTAAAGTAAAGCAATGAAAACAAGGAAGAGATACAGCTAAAGGCTGGTTTATTTCTCTGTGTAGCATCTACACCGTCGGTACACCGTAGTCTGTAGCCTGTATCTCCCCAGAAATGTAACTACAGACATTGGGCTACAGTATAGATTCTACACAGAAGTATCAATCAGCCTTAAAGTGTCAGAATGCAGAATGTGCAAAGTGTACTATAAAATATGAGTGCTGACTGTTTTGGACCATGATTACAATTTGATATGAAGTGTATGATGTTTGTATTGTTACTATATGTTTGCACTCTGGCACTTCACGTTTTATTTTCCCTTTTTCGTAAAATACTGTTTTGGTAAAAAATTTAAATTTTGAATCAAATGTGATTATTTTTCCAGTCTAATATTTTAACTCACAGAAACCCAAAGATAATGTTTGGTTTTACCAGTGATATGTGGTATTATATTTAATGTGACATCATACACTGTTGCACTCAGGTGATATATATGCCCGCTCACAGTTGTGTTAGAAAGGCGAGTGTGTGGGTTAACACGCTAGGACAGAGTGACAAGATTACTTGTATGTCCAGCATGTCTTCATGAGCTCGTACACCTCTGGGGGGCAGTTGGCTGGGGCCGCCATACGCTCCCCACTCTCGATCATCTGCAGCACCTCGTTGCCTTTCATGCCCTGCAGGGGGCGACAGAGATCACGCAGCTCAACAAAAGCCAATGTGTATGATTGGTGGGTGGTATAATGGTGTTCACTTGGATATTTAAAAAAACACTGTTCATCAGTTGTCTGTTTCACATCCTTCTTCTCATTTCCCTAGAATCATTTAATCATTTACTAACAATATAATTCACTACTATTGTTACTACTGCTACTACTACTACTAACAGTAAGTAAAAAGTACCGCTAGGGTTCTGTTATCCGGCAACTTAGGGAGGTAATGCTAAGATTATACAATTCCTTGGTGAGACCTCACCTAGANAGGCCTAATCTTCACTGATTGCAAATTCCATCAGCAAGAGCTGAGTGTGAAGGTTGAATTAGCAGAGCAATAGCACAGCTGTACATATAATACTGCAATCCACACCAGATAATGGGAGAAATATCAGAGTTCAAAACAGGACAAACTGTTGGTGCGCGACTCGCTGGTGCACCTGTGACCAGGACAGCAAGTGTTCATGGTGTTTCGAGAACCACGGTATCCAGGGTAATGTCGGCATACCACCACGAAGGACGGACCGCATCCAACAGGATAACTGTGTCTGAAAGGAGTGTCTGGGTACTAACCTGGATTGTATTCGAAAACAAAAAGCCACAGCTGCCCAACTCACTGCAAAATTAAATGCGCACTTTGACTCTCCAGTTTCCACCAAAACTGTTCATTGGGAGCTTCGCAGGGTCATTATTCATGATTGGGCTGCTATAGCCAAACCTTTGGTCACTTGTGCCAATGTCACCTTCAGTGGTGACAGTAACTCAAATATTAGGCTGTGGACAATGAGAAACACATACTGTTCTCTGATGAGTCCATCTTCACTGTCTTTCCCACATCCGGGAGAATTGCTGGTGGATTGTGGTCCTGTACTTATTGTAGTTCTTGAAAGATGAATAACAATTATGGTGAATCAAAAATTTTAGTTTCATTTCTCAGTTTTTGGGTTTGCTTCTGTGTAAAATATATACTTTTTGTAAACTCCAACCGTACTATTCTGCCTTGCTTTAGGGGTATTTGGTCCTGCTTCTATGAGCCTGTTACGAACTGTCCTAGCAGTGCACTTCACACCACTTAATGTTTCCCAATGTGACCCGTGCCAATCTGAAGACGGGGACGAGTCACTCTATCTCTTTTATGACTTACACTTTCAGAGCGATCTGCGGAGTGTTCCACAAAACACAAAAAAAGGTTTTCTCGGTAAGCTGGGTTAAGCTAGAAGTTATGATTGTCCAATAAGAGTTTAGGTAAGGAACATTCCTGCTAGACAATCATGACTTCCATAAGCTAGCCAAGTTAACTTGGAATTCCTGCTTCGTGGAGTATCCCCCTGATCTGTACCATTCAAAACGTAGGTTTGAAGTCTTTTGATGAGTCTTTTGTAATTCATCAGATCAGTCCACTCTCTTCCATTGCTCCATGATCCAGTTCTGACACTCACATGCTGATGGTAGGCGCTTTCGGAGGTGAACAGGGTACTGGGTTCTGACCACTGCATGCCGGGAACAATCCACCAGACCTGTCATTTGGACATGCTCTGACACAGTTGTCTAGCCATCAAAATTTGGCCTTTGTCAAAGTCCCTTAGATCCCCAATTTTTCCTGCTTCCAACACATGGACTTCAATAACTGATTATTCACTTGCCTAATGTATAACGGCATTCCTGACAGGTGTTATTGTGACGAGATAATCAATGTTATTCACTTCACCTGCTTTTAGTGTTCTGGCTGATCGGTGTACTTGCACAGATACAAAGTATAACCTAATTTGCTTCCCAAAGGCTTTACACAATGTAACAAAGTAGACTGCATTAAGTCTGTAAGACTTTACTGCCCCCTGCTGTAAACATGTTGTAAAGACTCTGCTTATTTGCCTATTTATTTATTTACCGTATATATTAGAACCCAGTTTCACTTCAAAACTACATAAATGTACTAGGTAAATAATTCCAATATTGTGAAAATTCAGGCACAGAAAATATTAAATTCAAAGCGAAAGCAACTGTTTAAAAATAATTTATTACCGTACAGTAAGCACAAGATATGTATTATCAGTTCACACCATTATCATGATCTGATATCAATGGAAAAGATTTAATACACTCTATAAGAACATTTTATTGTTCGAAAGTACGAGTACACATTAGCGAATATTCAGGCTCAGCAGAGGTGGTGTGCAAACAGATCCGACGGCAAAAGGAAGTTCTTAATTACTCTGTTAATGCCTCTTTTCGACACCCGGCGGTGCTGGTGT